ATAACACGTCCTCGTTCCAACTAGAGCATGGGGAGGGCAACAGGCTAGTTGTTTAGACCTAATCTTAACCAAGCATCCCGACGGTATAGAAGAGTTATGCTGCCTACCTGTACGCTGTGCTTTCGTGGGATTATGGCCTATATTTGGTACCCCCCGAAGTGATCACGCTGTACTTTCGTGGGATTATGGTCTTTATTCGTTACCCAATACAGTAGACGAACCAAGGCCGAATATATGGCGAGGTGACTTCTCTCAAATGAGAGAAGAGGCATCACAAATAGACCGGGGTCTTCTTCTCTCTGGGGATGTCACCGAGGACTGGAATAAATTTAAGGAATATGATATGATATCTGGACCTCGATTCTTCACGCATATTGATTTAAGGAGCGGTTGTTGCATCTACTGCAAAGTCCTTGTCCACTATCAGTGCTTAAGATATCTAACCGCCCTCAGTGGCTGAAAAGGGACCTTCAAAGAGAGACCAATAACAAAGGAAAACTTTGGAAGAAGTTTTGCAAAACGATCCGCAAAAAGGTAAAAATGGTTTTCAAAGGATGACGGGACTTTGAGAGCGATTTACTTTGTCGAGCAGTCACAAATCCGAAGTTGCTATACAGCTACTTAAGGAAGAGCACACGTAACAGGAACCCGATTCATGTTATGCAAAATAATGATGGTCTCAAAATCTCCGACTGTAAAAACAAAGCAGAACATTTTGCTGGGTTCTTTTGGTCGGTTTCTACCACAGAACCTGCCTTCGTTGCAACTAGTGATGAGATCGCGGGAGCACCAAATATTGAGGATATTTTGTTTGGAGAAGAGACGATTTTCCAAGAACTAAAAAGCTAGAAGGAATGTAAATCTCCGGGTACAGATGAGGTTCCTCCGAAATTGCTCAAGGAACTTGCCAGAGAGCTGGCTAAACCACCTTCCATGATGTGCCAGAAATCGTTCGATGCTGGAATCCTTCCTCCGGATAGGAAAATAGTGCATATATCACCGCTTTACAAAAGCGGTAGTCGTGCAGCTGCAAACAACTACAGACCCGTGAGTCTGACCTCCATATGCTGCAAAGTAATATAGAAGATCATCAAGAAGCTGTGATTACCTATTTTTTATTTTTTTATTTTCACGGTAGTACTAAGTTTGTAAGGAAAGTGCCCCTTGGGCCTTAAATATACAATTTCTTTATTTATAGAAGGAATTGATTATTTATTGTGAAACTCACAAGATTTTGTCTAATGCACAGTATGGCCTTCGTAGGGGTAGGTCATATGTAACAAACTTGCTTTACACGATGCAAAGCTGGACAAGGGCAATTGATGCAAAAGAAACCATACATGCGGCCTACATTGATTTCCGCAAGGCCTTCGACAGTGTTCCACACCAACGTCTCCTGCACAAGTTGAGACTAATGGGTATCGGAGGCAGACTTCTTACGTGGATTGAGAACTTCCTCGCTGGTCGTTCCCCAACTGTATATGTAGGTCGACAACAATCAAGGCCAACAGTCATCGAGAGCGGAACGCCTCAAGGTTCAGTACTCGGACCCACCCTCTTTCTCTTGTTCGTTAATGATTGCGTACAGGAATTGGACTGCGAGTGGGCCATGTTTGCAGATGATGTAAAAATATGGAGGGTCATCAGGTGTGCTGCCGATGTTGTTCGTTAATGATTGCGTACAGGAATTGGACTGCGAGTGTGCCATGTTTGCAGATATGGAAGGTCATCAAGTGTGCTGCCGATAAAGATAACTTCCAGGAAAATCTCTGTCCTCAGGAATTGTACTGCGAGTGGGCCATGTTTGCAGATGATGTAAAAATATGGAGGGTCATCAGGTGTGCTGCCGATGTTGCAGATGATGTAAAAATATGGAGGGTCATCAGGTGTGCTGCCGATGAAGATCTTTGTCGATTAAACTATTGGTCACATAAATGGCTGCTGTCCTTCAATTCGAACAAATGCACTCTGCGGCGCCTGGGAAATCAAAACCCGGTCACTGATGCGCGACCCTACCATCGGCTAACCGTTCAGCCGATAGCGCGCAAA